ATTTACACGCTTAAGCGATCATGTATTGAAAGATACATGACTGACGAGGCAGATTTTTCCGCAGTATGTTGCCATTTCTTTCTGATGTAGACAAGTTTCCATCCAAGGCTATAGAACTTGGTCTATTTATCCATAGCTGGGGTGGTGAGAGAAGAAGAGAATTCATACATTTCCCAAGGGTATTAGCACGTAAGTGAATGTAATGGATTTGACTGGAATTCGAACTCGGCTCTCTCAATTTGTTATAACTGATCCATAAATAAATAATAAAAAAAAAAAACAGTAACTATATTATTCAACAAACTTGATGTTAAAAATAAAATAAAATGCTGAACGAATTGTCAAGAACACTAAGTAACAATTAAGGGCACCTCGAGGCGGTGTAATGGTTAGCCAGGTTGTCTCGCTAGAAGAATTACAACTGAGACGTGAGTTCGATCCTCACTGGGTGCCCCATACTTTCGGCCTTGTGCCACATCTAAGCTATGCTTGGAAAATCACGAGGCACCTCGGCGTGGTGTAATGGTTAGCAAGCTTGTCTCGCTAGATCAAATACGACTGACTAGTGAGTTCGATCCTCACTAGGTGCCCCATACTTTCGGCCTTGTGCCGCATATAAGCTGTGCTTAGAAAATCGTTAGGCACCTCGAGGTGGTGTAATGGTTAGCAAGCTTGTCTCGCTAGAACAATTACGATTGAGTAGTGAGTTCGATCCTCACTGGGTATCCCCTACTTTCGGCCTTGTGCCACATCTAAGCTTCGCTTGGAAAATCACTAAGTAACAATTAAACCATTTGCTTTGTCAAACGCACACGAATAGTCTCTGTAGTTCTACGCTAATTGAACAAAAAAATAAAATTTAGAATGGTGTTCTTTATACTTGCAACATGTCAACGACTAGTATAACGACAAAACGCAACTAATTGGAATATTCAATCTCAGCCGAGATTGAACTCCCCAATACTTAGATTGCTGTAGTTCATAATCTTGTCAAATAGCTGAATTCTTGATGCTTCGCTAGGGCTATCAAGGGTGTTTTTATCGTGACACCATCACTAAATGGATTGCCAACCAAGGCTCAGAAAGACTCCATTCACCCTCCTCTAAGAGCAGGTTTGAATTCAGAGTTTTCCTTCTCCTAGACCAGTTGCCATCCAAGGCTATAGAACCCAGCCTGTCCCGCTATTTACGCATAGCTGGAGGGAGAAGAAAGATTATTCACACCTTTCACAAGGGAGTTAGCACGTAAGTGAATGTAATGGATTCGACTGGAATTCGAACTCGGCTCTCTGATTCCTCAATCCAAGCCGCTATCCATTACTCCACTGTGCCTCCTATTGGAATATTAGGAAGCATACATTTTATCGGTTTCCGTGAATTGTCACCTGAAAAAAAGGCACTCTTAGTCCAATTTATCTTTCCTCCTTATATTCGCAATATTATTAACATCCATCTAGCACCCCCCCACTCTTCTTAAATTCATACTCACCAGATTCAGTGAAACAGCATTTGTTATATTCATTGAAATCTTGAATTATTTACATCATTCGGGTTGCTATCCTCATCTTCATCGCCATATTTACAACGTTTCAACCGTTGTACGCTCCGGCCTTCTTCAGGTGATTGGAGATATAAACGAAAAGAAGCAAAGCTGTAAAAATAAACAAAATAATATTAAACACAGAAATTAACTACAGATCATCTGTAAGTGTGGCATGAATATAAACCGGGAAACATAGAGACAGAAATATCTGTCTATATTTCTGAGATGAGGTGTTATGTGCATTATTTACATTATTCGGACTATTGTTCTCATCTTTGTCGCCATATGGTTGCTGAGACATTAGGTTTATAATACCCAGAAATTCATGCACATGTCCTCAAGGACACATGGCACAGTGGATAAAGGCATTGGTTAGATCCAGTGAAAGGACCTAAAGAGTGTGAGTTCAATACCCGGTTAAGTCAGTGGAGAACCTTCAGAGAGAAATTAACCGGAGATAACTGATAACTGACATCACATGGAGCTAGAACAGTCTAAACCAGTGAGCAAAATATTCGACATACCAAAATTCCGTCCGAAACGTTGCAATAAATATGGCGTCAAATATGAGGACAATAGTCCGAATAATGTAAATAGGGACAGAAGTATTTTAAAACGACGTACAGCGGTTGTCTAATTGCAATGAATAAAGATCTGAGTAAATTGTAAGGCTTCGAAATGTCTTTCTCTTCGAAAGCTTGTAATAGACGGACTACAGTTGATTGATCTCACGGGAATTAAAGAGCTGAATAAAGTCCAATGACATTTTTAAGGATTGCAAACGACATACTACAGATGACTGACGGCACAAGCAATAAAGAGATGAGTAAACTTCGAATACACTTCATACGGCTTGTAAACAACGCCTACATTTGAGCGATTGCTCAAGCAATAAACAGACGAGTGATCTTGAAAGACACTTCGAAGGGTTTGTGAACGACGTCATCTATTTGGTTGATTCCACAAGCAAATGAGTTTACTTCAAAGAGACTTCCGTGGTTTCCTTAATAGTCATCAAAGTTGTTACTGAAAATGTTTGCACCATTCTAATCATCTGATTTGCGTTGAAAGCCGATTTCTTTAATAATTTGCTGTCGACATCAGATATTAAAAAAAATATTAGAAAACATAAATTTAGGAAAATGCAGAAAATTTATTAAATTTAATTATATTTAAGAGAGAAATTAATAACTTCTTTCACCCAGAACTTGTAAGATTTTTAGCTCGTGCGAAAGCTTCCGCAGGAAAGATAACATTAGAACTTAAAAATAAAATAAAAATAAAATCTAACACATGTTTTTTTTTTCTGTAAAGAAGGTATAAATTATATCCGTAAAATGTTCTGTTGTATTTTTTTTTAGGGGGGGGGTCCAGCAAAATTTTAAAAAGAGGACAAAATTATCAATGTTTTGATTCTGAATTAGCGTGTTCTTAAGAATATGCAAACAAAACTCAAAGCTTCTATACATTTTTTTTTTAAAACTTGCATTATTTACATCATTCAGACTGCTATCCTCATCTTCACTGCCATATATTCACAACGTTTCGGCCGTTGTACGCTCCGGCATTCTTCAGGTGATTTGAACTTCGAACCGAACCCTTTAATTTCGTCCACCGGTGTAGATTGTTCTAGTTCCACGTGACATGCCTCTTTCCGGGTGTCTCAGTTATTTCCGTTTAACTCAACTCTCCAAGTTTTCGTTCACCACCGCTGTGGCTTGGTACCGAACCTTTGGGTCTAGTCGCTGGATCTAACCAACGTCTTCATCTACTGAGCCACGTGCCCTTGACAGTTGACTTAAAGGGAAATAACTGAGACATCCGGAGAAGAAATTTAAAGAAAAGTATTTCAAATAAAAAAACTGTAGTACGAAATAACGTGTGTTGGGATTGCTATGAGTTTGAATTTGGTATCAGAAGGTTTTTATATTAAGATGGTTAGTTTACGGGCATGTTCACCATATTAATCCACAACAATATAGAATATAGACATTCAAAACGAATCAATCACAAGGCAATTGAGTAAGAAACACCGATTATGAGATTTCAATAAAACAACATGCATTTATGTACAATTAACATACAATATGAGAATACAATTGAGTTGAACTTTGATGGATAAATGAGAATAGATGTATTTGGCTGCGTAGAATATTATTGTGAATGTTTGAAGGTGTTTGCCATTGCTATTCAGATTTGTTCACAAAATTAAACTAAGTGTCCAGTTACGTACTAAATTGTCCTTTGTGCTAGTTCAGTTATTAGTGTGTGTACGTAAGTTTGTTTGTATAATTGGTAGGAGTTGCGTATCTTTAGTTGTGTGAGAATTTGATTGTTTGTTTACTAATACTTATTAAGTAGTGAGAAAAAAAGTCACTTTTTAAAGTATCGTAAGTAATGTTTGAATATAGTTCTTGAGAGAGATAGAGTGTGTTTGTGGATTGTTGAGTCAGATATTTTGCGCGGCAAAGTCCTGGCTGGTCAGAGGTTTGACTTGTGTGGGTCAGTTTAGCATCTCTCTAGGAATGATGATCTGACTGGTGAATTGGACTGCAATTCGTCCTTTTATTTGTTTTTGGAAACCAAAGTAGGCTCCAACGACCTGGCGGGAAAACAGATTTTTGACCATGGATACACATTCTAGGGTCGTCTCGACCAATAACAAGCCGAGTTTCACAATGTGTGGTGTTGATTGGCCAAAGCTAATTCTTATAGAAGAGTCTATTTTTAACGGGGGTGAGTAGACATATATTGACGATTCTATACGTGTGCTAAATAAATAAACGAAGTAATGAATACACAAATTAATTTAAAAGACATAAATTTAGAAATAAAAAATAACTCATAATCCGAATATAAATAAACTATAGACGAAAAACTAAACTGTAGTGTAGAAATGGAAGTTTTCTTTAAATAATGGGGAACTTCAACAGTCAGACATGGGAGGCATATCAGAAGGTCTCTCCCCAGACGACACTCTGGTGTAGGGCAGAGTCTCGTCTGAGGAAACTGACTCGGCATCCCCCACTTTAAACTCGGCCTTGTGCCACATCTTGCTGCGTGGAGCAGCGGGTAAATAATCATGGGAGGATATAAGTTACCGCCTCCGGTGTTATATAAACGACTGAGTAGCCAGGGGCCCAGAGTATTTTTGGATATGTATCTCATGGGGACGTGAATAAAGTAATTCAGAATAACTACTACCATTGTCGTTGGAGTTATTTTACATAAACAAAAATATAAACTAAAAAAGTAAATAAACTAAAGAATATGAATGAATAAACTAACAAATGCAGAAATAAAAAAATACAAGATAAAAGAAAACTAAAGTAAACAAAAACTGAAGATTTGAAAATATAACTGATTTATATCCGCAGTTAATTTGTATTCACGTTTAGCCAAGCCAAAATACCGTATGTGTGTGTATACGTGCATGCGTGTGTGTGTATGTACGTACGTGAAGATAGACAGATTTCGATAAGCTGACAATTATTTGAAAAAAAAATGCAATAGACAGATAGATAGATATCAATAAGTTGACATAGATTTGAATAGAATGAGATAGATAGATAGATAGATAGATAGATAGATAGATAGATAGATAGATAGATATGGAAGGACTGAGATAGATAGATAGATAGATAGATAGATAGATAGATAGATAGATAGTATTTTCCGCAAAAGGCCGATACTGGTATTTCTGGAACTTAACGCTTTTAAATCAAACATTTTTATGGTCATACTGCTCGATACAGAATGTCTATGTCAGTGCAGGTGTATAAGTGCATGCGAATGTATATATGTGCATATAGATAGATAGATAGATAGATAGATAGATAGAAACGTAGCTTCCTTATGCCTGTTCTATAAATATTAATAATAAATGGTAAGTAAGAATGTGTTGTTTTGGTCTAAGAAATACAGTGGTAAGTTTAATTATAAGACAGATGAATACTAGCCTTCCCCATTCCCCCTCATGGCCTTGTGCCACATTTCTTTTAACTAGCAATAATAACTATCACTTTCCTCTATTTACTTAAACTTTATGAATTTAAGTGCAGTACTAGATTGGCGGTAAGATCCCATTATTTTACAGTTGATATGGCTAGATGTAACCGCAAGTTCTATGCTAACAGTTTCCTCTCTCGCACTTCTCGTTTGTGGAACTCTCTTCCGGATTTTTGCTTCTCAGTCAAGTTTAATCTTCAAAATTTTAAATGCGATATCAATCGTTATCTTCTGTCTTCTTAATTTTTCTTTTATTGTCCTCTTTCCTTAATAGTAGTTTTTTTTTCTCATATTCACTAACACCTTTGCGTCCTAGTAGCTTTCTTGCCTTGCTTGATTTGATATTAATCGATTTATCCATTCTTTTTTCGAAGTTTCGTCCTGTTTTTGGACTCATCAGAATTGTGCACCCACTACCAAGAATCGAATCCGATACAACGCAAGCGTCATCCCCACTAGACCAACGCCTCTCGGTGATGAAGAGGTAACTAACTAGAATCGATATATTGCCGTTCTTCACAAATTCCGTCGTGTAACTCATCCAAGTTTATTTAGCCCAACGGATTATGCCACAAGGTACGTCTTCTATCCCCAAATGCTCCATCCAGGCATTAGAAGTTGGTTCAAGCAATGATATACAAGTGATAGAAATTATTAGGAGGATTTGAATAATATATATATTGGCCCGGTCTCACTCTTTATTTCATCTGAGGGTTCTGGAGGCACTTTACATCGGGTCCCGCAAGCCTTCTTTGTGCAAACAACGTGAGTGTTTGTTGGGACTCGCTGTCATCTGTCTCTAGTTCCTTCTGCGTATATATATATATATATATATATATATATATATATATATTTTCCCCCAATTCCTTTATTGTACATTTTTCTGTATTAATTTTGAATCTCCCGTTGAAGCCTGAAGAGCAGGAGCGAAATATTGGGTGCTTCCCCTTGTTTTTTTTTTTTTTTTAATGTCTTGTAATATTAAATTTTATACTTTTATTTCGATCATTAAATTTTGTACCTACAAAAAATATCTTTAATATATATATATATATATATATATATATATATATATATATAAATATTAAACACTGTTTATGTGTTAGATTGCTTTTTTACAAGAATAATTTTATATTTATTTAGAATTTATTTTATATTTACATCGTTATATGAACCAACTACAAAGCAATATTTATTATTTAACATATAACAAATAATTATTAAAAGAAATTATTTACAAATTTATAAAAATGTCCGTGACCAAGAAGACATGTTTAATTTAATACAATATGGAGGAATAAATGTAATGAAAGATTTTTAAAAAAAAATCATTTTCCGGGGGTTTCTTTCACTTATTCTCGTCACAGAAATTCACTAAAACTTATTGGGTGTCGAGAAAAATGTATAAAACCAGTTTTATACGGCTATTCTTTGCAAATTCTAAAATGCGGCTTAAATTAAATAAAATTGCTGTTGTTTATTATCCGTATTTGAGACATGTATATTACAAACTTGTATCGATAATAAGAGATCCGCTCGTACCTAAAATTATGGTGAAAGTGTGGATAAAAGCTTCTCCTCATCCATAATACGCACCCTTTGTTTGGTAATGAAACCCTATAAATTGTACCTCTCCAATTTCATTATACGCAGCGTTTCTTACTCTTATTCAAGCTGCAATTGAAATATTTATTAAAATTTCCGATCATCACGATTCTAAAGAAAACGGAAATACTTATATTGTGCCTTCAGTCTTGCAGACAGATTAACCTGTTTTTGAAGGGATAAAATGACCATTTCTACCGGATCTGTATTTGTTTTTTTTACAAAAGTGGTTTTAAACATAGAATTATGGATTCTAATTTAGTTTTATCTGATAATTCTTATTTTATTTTACATTGCAGATATCCATTACAGGACTTTATTTTGAACACCCTCCCAGACCTGTTAGAGAAAGTAACTTTTTCTAATACAAACCAGATAAAATGGTTGAAATATAAGGACAGACCGGGTTCTATAGCATTTTAGCCACACTGGTCTACAGCCGAACTGGAAATGGCATCTTCCAATGCGGGAAAAACTAAATCGTCAGTCATGTATCTTTCGATATATGGTCGCCTAAAATGCATAACGTATAGCACAAAATTGACTGAAGAATTGTTAGGTACCAATCATTGTATTGATATTCTTATGGGGTGTAAATCGCCGAATGTTTTTGTCAAATTGTCGTATGTTTGTGTTGAGTAATCATTGTCAAAACCGAATCGACCATATGAAACAACAATTTTAAAAGATTTTTTGTAGCTAATTTAATACGACTCCTAATATTGCTTATTATTTTTTAGAAAAAAATTTTAATATTATACATCTTTTTTACATAATATATTAATAACGTTATTATAATTTTTTCACCATCAATAAAAAATACAAATTTAAAAAAACATTTTGACACACCGTTATTTTTAGATGGGTTGGTAATATAGAAATTAAACTTTGCCAATCAACATATTTTTTTCTTTCATTTCAACAGACGAATATAGATGGTATTTTAATATCTGCGTGAAATTATGGTATAGGGATTTTTATACTCTTTTTGAGTAGCTTTCAAGACTTTGAATTTTTATTAGTTAAAAATTTATTTTAAACGATATATAAAACTATTATTCAGGATAAGTAAATACAGTGCTGTTCGATAAAAGTGACTCACCTTATCCTTTGAATTTAGATCAACTTTCGTTTCATCGGAGAAGAGAACATTCTTCCAGTCTTCTATGGTGAAATTTTTGTAATATAGCCATTTCAAGTCTATGGCATTGTTATATTTGCTTATTATATTTAAAAATTAGTTTACAAGATTTGTAGCCTTGTTCTAACAGCTACCCTCGGACTGTTGAAGAGGCAAGACTAACACCTTGCTCTTCGATAGACGATCTGCAATTTCTTAGATAGTTATAGCCCTATTCTTCGCAACTTTCTCTTGATTACCCTGCCAGTTCTATCATCAATATTTTATTTATCACCTTGTTTCCTTCCTTGGATCATATGGCATCACATTCAAATGCCCTAAGAATCGAGAGGCAGTTGATTGCAAGGTTATAGAAATTTCTGCAATTTCTCTCGTAGACTTGCATGCTTTTGAAGGGCAATAATAGATGCCTTGTTTGTGGTTCTGAGTGGTTATTTCAATATACGAGTTTTTTATATATATGGAATATTCTGGAATGCTATAGATTAGATTTAAGCTGTTCTAAATTCTCTAGAATATGAAAGTGTATTGTAAAATATTTTTCAATATTTTGTCAAAAGCTCTTTAAATTTACCAGTTTAATAATTAGAATGCGATATCCGAGTCACTTTTTTTGCACAGAGTTTTTTTTTCCTGAATCTTATTTATATCCACATTTATAATTATCAATAGAATATCTTAGGGTGAATAAACTTTTTTCGTAGGTGGCCGGGAAGGGGTCATTATATTTGTAAGATTAAAAATTATTTTAACCCCAAAACAATCTTCCAAAATATGGGTTTTTAGTAAAACAATCAATGGATCAATTTTTATCAAAAAACAACACATGTTTGTCTATTTAACCAAGACATAACTATCGTTTGATATAAATGTTGGCAAGGACGAACCATGTAGATTGTCGTAGTGGTATATCTGCAATATGAAATGCGACTCTCCGGTGGGTCATTTTCCAATTTCTTTTCAATGAGGATTGTTCAAATTCACCAGGCTGTTGCTGTAAGATTTTATAAAAAGGGCAAAGGATTTAGATGACACCGTGTATCAAGCAGATAATGTTCGTCCCTCGGGGAGGTCTTATGCGCATGTAAAAGATTGATAAAGCCCAGATGTTAAATTACTGCAGTGCGAGTCGATCTAGCGTTCCCCGAGTGGAAAATTAGCAATTTCAAATATACCATTGATTATAAACATATAATAATAATCTTCGCGCAGTTTATTTTCTCGCCAAAGTCCATATCTGCTCAGTTTTGTATTCGAATCGAAAACAAAACAATTTCTATATGATTAATAAATTTGTTATTAATCCGACATTTGTATTACTTAAATCGGACACTCGTATTTGAAATAGACGTTCCATTTTGCAAAAATATAATCCGAGTGAAAAGGATTGTAAATTCCATAAAAGTGGAAATAGAGTCTGTCTCTATCTCTGAGATGAGGTATTATGATTACTTGTATTATTTACATTAGTCGGGCTGTTATTTTCATCTTCATTGCCATATACACAACGTTTCAGCCGTTGTACGCTCTGGCCTTCTTCAGGTGACTGGGATTTAGAACCCAACCCTTTATTTCGTCCACCGGAGTAGAGTGTTCTAGTTCCACGTGCCATGCCCTCTATATGATGTATTGATTTATTTCCCTTTCTTTGTGAGTTCCTCTCCAAGTTTAGGGCTCAAGGACACATGTTCCAGTGAATAAAGACGTTGGTTAGATCCAGCGACTAGACCCAAAGAGTTGTGATTTCAATACCAAGCCACTGCAGTGATGAACAATAGGTGATATTCGAGGTATAAAAAGAGGAAATTGATGTAAAAATAGGGAGTAGACGATGTAAAAACAGGGGGTCCTGATGTAGAAAAGGGGGGTAATAGAAATAGAGTATAGTTGATGTAGAAATAGGGGATAAAAAAATGTAGAAATAAAGTCTTTGATGCAAAAAATAGGTTTTTTAATCGATATAAAAACTTTAAGAGGAAAAAAAGAAACGATACGAAAGAGATTTTATAAAAGATATGGCTAAACTTGAATCTGAAACCCAAAAGCATCAACCAATGCAGCCCACCAAAAAAATAGTATTTGGTTTTAGGATTTAAGAGACATTTAATTTAAAAAATCAAAAAGGGAAAAGGTTTTTCAAAAAAAAAAAGAAATAAAATTTATTTGAATAAAATCAGAGGTTAGATGTTTTGCAAGAAAATAAAAACAAAAAAGTAAATTTCAAAGATAGCATACAAAAAAACGATATAAACAATAAAAATGTGCAACTGATAGAAAAAATGTTAACTGGAATTGAATGTAAAATAGAAGCGGGTGGTCTATAAATATATGGAAATATAATAATATATAGATAGATATATATGGGATGACAAAATTTTACTTTTGCCAAAAGTCAAAAAATGAATCGAGGCTCACTACAAATACAGAAAATAAAACTGGAGATTCAATGTTAAATGAATCAGAGGATATATTTTGAAAAAAAACTTTGCCTGAAGACCACTTTAAGGTTCCATGTAATAAGTTATTTCACCACAACCCCTTTAACATATATATAATATATATATATATATATATATATTGAATAAAAACAGACCACTTTAAGGTTCCATGTAATAAGTTATTTCACCACAACCCCTTTAACAGGGCTCTGGATCATCAGACTTTACTTCCAAAGGTTGAAATGAAAAATGAAAAGAAATTCACACGTTTTTGACGGACCGCATCAAGCATATGTAAAATTAACGAAGTGAGGAAGTGAGGTGGGAGAGAAGATAAGATATGAGTGGGTTAGATGTACCATTTCAATTCCTTATTCTTAACCCCACTGTGTGTCGGCTAGACGTCGCTTAAACTTAACGCGTATTGTCTCTAGATATAGATGGGTAAGGCGTGAGGGAGAAGACCGACATTAAAGGAAGAAGCTACAACAACCCTAATAAATTACATTCCACGAGGGCAGGTTTCATTCAAATTCTTAGACGCTGTTAATTCGCATTACTTTTAAAGGGCATATTTGGGAGGTTAAGGTTTGATATAAATCTAAATGTCTAAACAATCTACGAAGAATTTAATTTGAAGTTCGTTGGAGTTTTGGGTATTTTCTATGAAACAGTCGATTGGAAAAACTCATAGAGAGTACATTGAAAAAGTAATCCATTTTATATTTAGTAATCTTTTTTATTTTTCTAAACTTGTATCTTATTGATTGTTAAGTTGACATCTATTCGTTTGATTTTTGTTCATTAATTAAATAAACTCGAGTTGATTATTCAGTTGACATCTATTCGTTTCAGTTTTGTTCATCGATTAAACTCGTGACTTTTTTAATATACCTACATAATTATCAAAGGTTCTTTCAATTTAAATAACTTTATCGTCAACACTGATTGTTAAAGGGTAGTATATTTCAATTTAAATTAAATTACCAATTTAAACTTTACCTCCGTGTTATTTAAACTCACTTCCAATTGGAGAATATTAGAGGAGAAATTTGGATAAAATATTACTAGGAAAAAATTAGGTCCTTCCTTTACAATCTTTTATATATCCATACACATATACACTCCCACACATGTCCGAACCCCTATCTATATCAACATACCTATATCTCACTATATACTTATAAGTACTTACATACACCTGCACACACATCCACACGAAAAACTATATGTATATTCCCATATTTACAAATATACACCTGCAGAGAAACATATGCCCACATATCTACATACATATCTACACATACACTTATACTTACATATATACATATATACAAATAAAATCACCTGCATATCCATATACATATACATCCATGTACATACATACACACATATATATTTACACATATATATATACATATACACACACACACACACATATACATACATACACACATACATACACACATACACACACACATACATATATATACATATACATAATATGCAATATATATACATACATACATACATATATATATGCATATACACATATATACACACGTACATGTCTCTATCCTCATGTCCACCCATACACCCACTTATGCCTGCATTCGAAGACTATATCAATATTTAATTATATTATGGATACCCAAATCGTATAATTATACATATCTCTTACATATATTACCCGCTCTTTCATATCTATATGGCAAAACATATAGGTACCCATCTAATTGAACACCTCCACACTCACAAAAAAAAAAAAAAAAAAAAAACCTTGTATGCCTCTCTTTCCATATAAAACATATACATGTACATATCAACAGGTGAATCAGTGTTCAAGTACAATACCATAGTTGTATACATACAGTCATGTGTTGGCGTTCATGCGTGCATAGTAATAAAAAAAGCAAAAAGGAACAAAAATCATTCAATGTTATTCTTCCTATATAATTATTTCTCAATGTATTTATTTAGGTTTAGGTTGTTTTTTTGTGCCGGCATTAAAAAACTAGTTCATTGTGTCTATTTAGTAATATGTCTGGATCTTTATGTTTGATTATGAAGATTTTTTATATTTATGCATAAGTCGCATCTGTCTCTAAAGTTTTTTTGGAGTTCTGGCTCTTGATATTATTTTCCACTTTATTTGTGGGGTTAGGCCACCTCCAACAAATCCCAATAATGTTTTGATAGTGCCGTTTGGTTTTTTACATTTATTTTTGAAGGACTGGCGATGTTTGTACAGTCGGTGTTTCCAATCTCCCGCCGATATTCCTATGTATATCTTTTTTCTCCTCAACCTTTCTTTGGGGAAAAATTGTTGCTTCATATATATATGTTTTCTCTGCCATGCATATTCCTTCAACTGGGCACTCTGATCCTGTCCTGCAGTTGCATGTTGATTTTTCCATTCGGCTTGTATTATGGTTTTGTATTAGATTATCATGAAGGTCTCTCAAGATTTTACTATTGTGTGAGCTAATAATTCTTTCCATATTATCCATGCAAGAATAGCTAATCGTTAGATTCATCTTGTTGAGTATGTTTTTTAGAGATGCATTTTTGCTGAAGTGTTTTTCTATCAGTTTTATGAAGTATTTACCTATATTAATATTGGACAGGTTACAAAAAGGTGGGTTGAACCATATAATTTTCCTTTTCCTATTTTTGGGTTTAGTGGATTTTTTATTTACTGACTTATCTATGTAATTTAGTGTCTGTTTAAAATTACTTTTTAATAGGGCTTTATTGTATTCCGATTTATTCTGGTTAAAATGGTTTTACTGGAGGAGAGTTTATTTATTCTTGCATTTACTGTATTTGGAATTTGTTTAATTATTGATTTCGGTGATTAGAGTAGATATTTATATATATGGGTGATTGGTTTTCCTTTTGGAAGGGTTTATAAGTGTTATTGTTCAGATTAAATGTAACGTCTAGGAAGTTTACTATTTTTAAGTTGGAAGAAATCTCGATTTTAAACCTTAGAAATTTGAAGGCCCTAATTATTTTCTTTTGTAGTTGGGATGTTAACGGACCATTGGTATCAGGTACAGCAACTAATCCGTCATCTCTGTATAGTCCTATATTTTGAGGGTCAAGGAATCTACTTAGGATATCTAAAATGTATATGCCTATTAGGTCAGCTATTTGAGATGAATCAAATGATCCCATTGGGACGTCGAAATTGTCTATGTCTTTTTTAATCCAAGTAGTGTTGTTCAATTTTAGTATGGACTGTCTAGAGTCCATTATGATTTTTATTTCTTCGTCAGTAATATCAGTGTGGATTTTGGCAAAACTTAAGCTATTTTCTAATAATTCTTTAGAGATTGAGGGTAGAAATCGATATAATATCAAAATGTATAAGTTTTATTTTTTTTTTTTTTGGAACCAGTTAATGGTGTCCGATGAATCTTTCCAAAGGTTTAACGGGTATTTTGTTAATATAGATATGTTTACTCTTTTTAGGATGTTTTTAGAAATTATTCCTAACTCTGATTTGGAGGGATTTATTAGTCTGAACTATAGATTATTCTGAAAGTTAGGTTTATGGTCTTTAAAAAGTAGGTAGGCGTCTTTTAAATGAGTTGTACCCATTCTATCAGCAATATTATATTTAAATGCTAATTTCGCAGTGTTTTGTGTATGGAGGATCAGTGTTTAGAATTGTTGTCTTTTTTATAAGAACCAGAAACTTTATTTTGAATCAGATGGTTGTATTCCGAGGGATTAATTTTGTAAATATTTTTAGATTTGTCAGCTTCGATCCATAGTTTTTTTGAATTTTTGATATTTGTAATGTCTTTTTTAAATTTGGATTGGAATGGGTTGCATTTTTTCTGGAAGGATATTTTCTTGATTAACTCAATTAGAACTTGTTCAAAAGGTTCTAATAATTTATTGTTTGGTGGAGTGTTTTGAGATTTAAAGTAAAAGGCTTCATTAGGCTTAGTGGGTTTGTCATGGGGATTAAGATGGAAGTGAATCTTCCACCTCATTCTTTTGATGACGTCAATGCTTGATGCGGTCCGTCAAAAACGTGTGAACTTCTTTTCGTTTTTCATTTCAACCTTTGGAAGTAAAGTCTGATGATTCAGAACCCTGTTAAAGGGTTATCCATTATAAATAACTTATTACATGGAACCTTAAAGTGGTCTGTTTTTATTCAAACATATCGGCTTCTGAATTTTACATTGAATCTCCGGATATCATCCTTATTGGGTCTACCCATTTGGATTATATAATTTTCATAAACTAAATATATATATATATATATATATAAAAAGACTTAAACACTAGTACTCCATGGTCATAATTTATTATATATATATATATATATATATATATATATATATATATATATATATATATGTGTGTGTGTGTGTGTGTGTGTGTGTGTGTGTGTGTTTCTGTATGTGAAATGAAAATGTATATATATATATATATATATATATATAATTATATATATATTGTATGCGCGGTACTTATTAGAAATATATATCAATATCAGAGATAGATATAACATATATTGTTGGATAAAATAGTATTATTATTTCTTATATATTTTTGACAATATAAAGCGTGAAACCCAGGGTCAAAAA